CCCGCGTAGGAGATTGAAGATCATATTTCTCCACCATTCAATCACTTAAAAATAGAAGTTTGTTGAGACTTTATAGAGATAAGCGGTATCGGATTTTTGTGATGGTACTTCCTGTTTTAGAAAATAATCGTTCTGAAGGTACTGACGACACAAGATTAGATATACATTCTCGTGTCAATTTATATAAATGTTGGGTACAATTCTTTGGGAATTTTAACGACGAACGAACGACCACACGGTAAGAATAAGTTCAATCGATCGAATTAAAAAGTTTTCAAGGAGTCAGCTAGGTGGCACTGAATTTTTCATTCGATACGATACCTGGAAAAAAGTACTTATTGAGTAAAAGAATCGAATGCAAAGTATCGAGTACAAAAGTATCGGTATCGAATGGGAATGTACTCGATACCACATCACAAAGCATCGATACTTTTTTTTGTCCCTACCCTAGTAAATCGCGATTCTGGTGGGAAGTTTGACGAGCATCACGCTGTGTTCTTATAAGAATCTGTTTCCGTTATGAATAAACTTTTCATTATTCAAGTATTGAGTTTTACTTAAAAGTTTCAGAAGTGGTATAAGACTTACGTGCAGTGACAAGTGATTACATGAGTAAAGTTCGGCAGCTGTACAATTACGAAAGAGGATGTATTTTTAACTTTTGCTTTTTGTGAAAGACAATCATCATTTTGCGCTCGAACTACGAACACGATAAAACTTGCTTTTCGATGATTCTCAAAAACTTTAATCGGTAGCAAAGTTTTGTGAATGTGTGTGTTGTTTGTTGTGCTTATGAAGGATTCCACTTTTTCTACTCAATGCATGCTTGGCTCAGTGCTTGAATCTGGTGATTGGTGAGCTTTTTCCATGTTGAACTTTTATCTATGCTTAAGCTTAAATTGGACTCAATATAACTTGTTTATTTTGTAACAGTAAAGGGCTATTATAACATTAACTAATATCTAAAGAATGCTGCATCTTGTACATTATTGGTGGTGCTGGTTGTGACCTAATTTAGCTACATTGTATCTTAAATATAATTAATTTCATTAGTTTCATATTGTTAAGTGCAAAAGACAGTTACTTAACTACATCTTTTAATTATTAATGACATTCTTAATGACCAAGTGCTATAATAGAACATTAATTTTCTAACACTGCTATATTGCTGAAGGATATTGATTAACAAGTGTTAAGATAGTCAGCGGATACCATTAGACACAACTGATATTAACTAACTTTAAATTAATATATAGAATACTTATAAGTGGTAGTGTATATTTATGCTTTAATCGTTGTTAACATGGATCGACACAAGAGATCTCGGAGATCCAGTAGCACATCAGCCTCAAATTCAAGTTTACATTGCAATGTGAACAACAAGAAAAGATACAGGAGAGAATTGAGAAGAAGCAATCAACATATTGAATCGTTGGAAGGTCTTGTTAAGAACCTGTGGGATAGTCAAGATAATTAAGGAGAATGGTCCTTGGAAAGTTTAGGATCATTACGGACAATTGTATGGTATGTTGGCACATATGATTTCATTCCTGAGTTAGATCCTCAATCGTCCACTGTCCCAATTGAACACTGGCTGAGGAATTTAGAAAGCATTTCTAAAATTCATGGCTGGACGAGTTAAGGTGGGTTCATCACCCACCTTAACTCGTCGAGTACCGGTTTTGTAGACACAATTATAGAACAATAGGTTGCGGTCACCGGTGACCGCTTGGTGTTTGACAGTTTAATATGCAATTGTACATCTAAACTGCGTGACGAAGCCAAAAGTTGGTATGAGAGACAGCCAACATATGTTGGCTCATATGAGTTAAGTTGGAGTCAATGGAAAGAAAAATAAATTACAGCTTTTCCTTTTACAAAAAATAAGCTTTGCCAAATTAGAGAGCTTGTTAATCGAGTTTTAGGGAACAGAGAGTATAGTTCCCTAAGATCGGAAAAGGAGGATCCTCCGACCAGGCGAGGTGATCGTGCCTGGCGGGCTTTCTGCCCAACAGTTGTTCGTTGGGATTTTCTATCCGTGTTAAATCTAATGTAAACTTCGCATGTGCGATGTAGGATTTTTTATGACGTCATCCGTTAGAATGTACCATGTGTCGCCACAGAGTAATTACCCAATGATAATGTTATTGAATTTTATTACAATAAATTGGGTATAAGTAAGTTGTACATTGTCAGTACGTTGACACAATATCCTGGCAATAAAGCATTTGCTTGTCCTCGCTTCAAAAATCAAAAGGACAATTCAAATAAATGTTCTTTCTGTAATAAGTCAGATCACACAGAGTCAGTGTGTTTTAAAAAGAACAACCAAGACAAATTATGTTCTTATTTTTTTATTTTTTTTAAACTTTGCCCCACTGCCCACACTAGGATTATCTCCTGTATCGTGGGTGCGTTTACAAACATACAAGTTCACATACACATGACACCCAGACCCGAAACAACAATTTGTGGATAGCACAAAGTGTTGTTCCGTGCGGGAATCGAACCCGCGACACGTTGCACGGCAGCCGGTTGCCCAGCCACAGCACCAACCGTGCAGTCAAGGCAAAGGTCGTAGTCGTGCAAAGGTCTTGTGTTGTGTACAGCAGGATAGTAGCTTAACGCTAAAATCTTACTGTACAGGACTACCTAATCCTAATGACTACTAGCTAACGTTATCCTACACTATCCTTGGTAATTTAACACTTAACGTAACAATATAGCAGTAAGTAGTACTACTTCCAGTGATTGTAAGTGGTGCCTAAAATTAAATAATCTTAGAAATTACATAATATATTTCGGCTGATGTAATCATCCTACATAATATTAGAATTCTAAAACTTAACGAGGGAAAAGGAAAATGAGCTCTAAAGACAACGATTTATTTACTTAGTCATCATGTGTATGATCAAACGGATCCAACTCTATGTAAGTATAATCCGCAGCAGGATGAGTTATAGGAGAATTACGTCTTCTTAGATTTGTACTAGTTGTCATAGATGCATTGATTATAGTTATAGTTTCATGTCCATTGTCATATACCCTTGTATCAGCTGTGCTTGTTTCTTCATCCACTGCTCTATTTCTTATAATTACGAGTGGTTCTCTCGCAGTTACTTCTTTAGCATTATTATTTTTTGCTTTAGCTCTCATTTGTACTGTTGTTAAAGCTGTTTTACTATCAGGTTTATTATTTGTATCGTACTTTGATTTAATTGTAACTGAGTCCTTATTGTTATTTCTATCTTCTTTGTGTCCAACAATCATTTTTTTCCTAACTTCTTGTACTTGTTTTTCTAGATTACTTACTCTTCTCTCTAAATCATCGTTTACGTTGGCTGCTGTTGTGGTGTTACTACTACCACCTCTGCGATATATTTGTGTATATCTGAAATGAAATTTATATGCCGGAGTTGAGTATACAGGCAAGTCTTTGGCTCGAAGCAGGAGTATAAATGGAATGGTAGTAAAAGTATAGTCAGTAAAAGTCACATAGTGACATTCTCTCGCCTCACTCAAGGTGGCAAAAGACAGTGGATAATTTTCTACCCTCAAAAAGGAGCGTATAAGAAAGTAACCCCTAAAGATTTAATTCGGTAGTTAAACATTGAACACTACTAGTCGAATTAACAAAATAAAGTAAGTTAAAAGTTTAGTAGTTCACTACGACGCGTCACTACATTAGACGAACATAGAAAGTAAATCAACATTTGCAATTTACTGTGATCAAGATTTTGTGTTTTGATAAGTAAATTTGTTACTAGAATATTTTTAGCAATAAATACGTCTTCTACAGTTGACATTAAAGCGTAGTATTTTATCAACTTTGTAAATGTTAGCTTTTGCCTACAAACAACTGTTTGTTATGGTATAGGTCGGCAAACGAGCAGACGGATGACAAGTAAGACACCTGAAATACCAGAGGCATTACGAGTACGTTACCGGCTTTTTGGGGATTAGGAGTTTGAGGATTGTTGGGGTTTCGGGGATTAGGGAGATTGGGAAGGGGGCAATAAGGCTCCCGCTAGCCCTACTCACACGATGAAACACAACGCAAGCGTTATCTTACGTCGGTTTTCTGTGAAAAGCTACATGTCACACAGCTTGCTACCAATAACGGAAGAGTTCTATATCTTACCTTGCTCCTCGCCATAGACTGGGATGAAACGCCCTTTTATATCCAAACGTATCGCTACCAGAAAAATGTTTGCCTAACCCACCATTATTCTTTGCTTCATAGTATTTATCATTATCACGAGGTGCCCTTCCTATATTATCTTCATCTTCTTCAACTGAATACTGTTGCTTCTTTTGTCTGTACTTCTTTTTATCTTTTGATTTATGTTTCTTTTCGCCAGTGGCCATCTCATATACTTTATTAATATCGTGGTTGTTTAAATGTTTCATTGCATATCTTGCTAAACCTTTCACATATTTTGAGTTCTCGTCAGATGATTGTGGTTTATTTTTGTGGTTTGGTTCATTATTGTTTCCTATTTGATTGGCTTCATCAATCTCATCATCTGAATGTACCTCGTCGAAACCTTCAGTAACTAAAGTTACGTAACGGTGCGTATTAAACTCACGTAGTTTCTCCTGGAACTGCTCTATAGAATTAGAAGAAGAGTCTAAAACTTTTTCTGACTCCGGATCTGTATTTTCATTTTTATTAGCTCTTGCTTCAACACCAGTTACTTCTTCTAAATCATTGCTGGATTCTTTATCTTCTGTCCCTGATATATAAAAGTTAGTAGTAGGAGGTGACACATTAAACTGTCTTGTGTTGAAAGTTGAAGTTTGTGTTCCTTTCATTTGATTCCAAATATTCTGTATTCTTTCTTTCAGTTCTATTTTAGCGTTTACATGTAAATGTGTATAGTAGTCGAATATTAACGCCTTCAGCGCATCCTTTATAACTTGTGCCATATTATCGTCCATTCTTCTAGTTTTCGGCTTGTTGTAATATTCCAATTCATTTAAAATCTTTTCGAATTTCTCTACAGTTTCTGGTCCGTACAAAGAATTGATATAATCAACGAAATCTTTGACTTTCTTGTCATATCTCTCGTCTCTAAGTATATCAGCTACAGCATTTATATTAGCTTTCGTTTCAGAGACCGGTTTACCACTGATCAAGTTCAATTTAGTTTGCAACATCCTTCTCGTGTCATGGTGTTTGGTTAGCTCAGAGAATTTACATCCTCTATAGTGATAGTTTTTAACTTCTTCGTTCAAAATGTCGATGAAGTCTCCGAAGGTGGTATCTTCATAAGTATTGATAATATTAATCGCTTGTAGTATGAATCCAGTGAAGGTTACTACTCTTGGTGTTGTGACCTGGAACTTAGGTACCTTACCTAGTGTTTTAGTCTTTGCTAGAAGGTCTTTGGCAATGTTAAGTGTTCTTTCTTCCTTGGTATGGGGTTTGCCTTCGATTGCTTTTTTTACTTTTATGTCTTTGTTAGTATCTTGAGAGCTCGTTTTGATGAGAGCTGTAAATACATAGATCATTATATTAGTTACGTATTATTTGTTTTATAAGTGGGATTAACATAACTACGATTTTAAAAGGATCTAGTAAAAAGATAAAAGTGGAAAGTTTTAGTAAAAACTGATCATTCGACTATATACGTCGAATATATCGAATAGGTATTGTACCTATAAATTTAAGATCTTTGAACTCAAAAGAAGTAAATGTATTTTATAAGGTTGTTAGGAAATAGCGTATTAAATTCGCATTAATTTATTTTTCCTAGAGACTCGATAAAAATATTTTATTAAAAAGAAAACAAAATAAATACCGAATATCGTGAACAGTAGAACACAAGCGCACACTTTCATTTTAATATAAAAATACTAACATTTTATTGTATCATAAAACTTGTTATACATTGCGCGAGCAACTATTTTTATATTTGTAATCCAATAAAATTATTACTACTATTTTATTGACAGTAAAAATTGGAATGGCTACTGATTTTAAACTTAATGTTGTTTCAAAGTTGCAGTATTCAGTTCTAGCAAATGTTTTTAAAACTCTCAAACCTGAACAAATTCGTTTGAAGACAGTCAATATTGAAAATGTGTTACAGTAATACAATTACAATATGAATATTTCCAACGTGAAACCAATTATAAGTTATAAATAATGCGACTACTATTTCTGTTGTTATTTCTGCACTATGATTTGTTATTTTGTCAGCCGTTTGACGCAGGTTTGTCACAACTATTATACTTGGGAGCAAAAAATCGGAGCCACTAGTGATTTTCCTTTTTTATTTCTTGTTTAATAGTTTCTGATACAAGTATTTTTTAGGAACGTATGTCGTATTTTTTTAAGGGGGAAAATCATCGAATGTTTGCTCCCGCCTGGGTGAGGCGGTAGGGAGTGTCAGACTCTTATTGACTAAAAACCACCCCGTTCCTTCTCCTGCACGTCGAGCCGGAGCCCCGGTTACCCGTTAGGTTCTCCGCGACAACGTAGGTCGTATAAAAATTTAAAGGCAATCTCGAATCAAGTTACCTTTACAATGAGATCATCTGGTTGTAAAAGGATTTATTTTATATTATAGATATAGAGGGTTGGATAAAATGAGGAAATAAAACATTAGTGGCTCCGTTTCTTAGCTCCCAAGTGTATATGATAATGTCATTGTAAATGGTTAAAAGTACTACATGCTTATAATTAATATTCTAATCGATTTCGGCTACAGTGACTTGCATATCGGAAATCTCAGTTACATTTTTCTCAATATTTACTACAACTAATCTAATGACTAATAAGTACCTCTACTCCACAACAGAAATATTTTTACCATTTGATAAAACTCTGACAAAAAACCAACACACTCTGGACGAAATAATTAAACCGAAATATGTTCAAAGACACGGTCGAACGACTTTCGATCCAGTCGTGTCGTCTGTTAGAGACAAACTACTCGATGACTATCGCGTGTATATGGCCACGTTAAGTACGGATGTAAAGAAAGAGCAGGTTGTCGATGATATAGCAAACGGACCCAATATACTCAGAGAACGAGACAGTAATAAAGCAAACGACAACACAGCGACATCTCAAGAGACTTCAATCAGAGACTTAGATTCAGAACCTGACAAGAATGAAAAACTGATAAGAGAACTGAAAGAGAGTATGAACATAAAAGGTATAGATGTAACTATTTTACCTGATAAACTAGTGACGTCTGATCGAGATGACAGTAAAACGGATGAAAGTAAAAATGAAGAGGATAGAGATGTAACAGAAGATAGCTCAACAGACGATCATGAAGAAGAGAATGAAATTGCTGAAGAACGTGAAGAAACTACTCCAAGTAAGGATAATACAAATGAATCCAGTGATGATAGTGATAAAACTCTTATAATGGATGGGATAGACGATACACAACTAGATAAAATTGGTGATATACTAAATATGGAGAGACAAAAGACAAAAAAACAACAGTCAACTGAGACAGAAGATGAATATGTTACAACAACGAAACCAAGAAGAAAAAAAGCGACAAAAACTACAACACCGGAACAATTCAATTATGATTTTGTAAAAAAAACAACAGCCCATGTAAATAAATTTACACAGTCAGCGTTAAGAAAACACAAATCATCAACGCATAGAAAATTGAATATCAAGAGAATTACAAAGAATCGAAACACAGTAAGCGGAAAATATACGACAAAGCATAAAAGGCTTCACGCTAACAAACTTATAAAGAAATCAAAGAATGTACGAGAACTAGAACCTACAACATGTAAAATTGATGAAGAAGCGGAAACAAGCTCTGGAACTACATCAGTACAAGTGAATATAAAACGTTAGTAGTATCTAAATACTTTCTTCTACTACTGAATGTCATAAATTATGATTACGGACTGTTTAAACTTGTTACTAAAGCTATCAACAGTCGATAAGCAGCCACTGCTGACCAAAGGCCTATTCTCACACGGAGAGGGTATGAGCATTTATCACCACGCTTGCTCAATGCGCATTAGCGGTAAACTTATAATTAGAAATTAGCTCCGGTTTCTTCACGATGTATTCCTTCACTATATTTTTACTGTAAACTTTGACATCTAATATGTTCAATGATAAATCTTCAATTTAACTGTTATCCAGGTACGCCACAAACTACAACCACGATGCTACCATACTTCCAAATGATTGTTGATCTGGATGAAGGGTACATGGTGGTGTTCCTCATCGAACTGATGGGAATCATGGCCTCTAAAGACAAGGATGATCTATTTGAAGTCCTCGTTCATACTGAACAAATCGTGCTGCAGTGAGTGTCACATAATACCATCTGACATGCAAGTTGAAAGTTGATATTTTGAACAATATTCATTACTATTTCAGACTTCATGAAAATGGAAAAATTAACTGGTTCGGTCAGCCTCTTTTAGACATTACAATGAATCTGGCAAAATTCATGACTGAATCAGAAACGGGAGTAATACAAAGTAAGAACTGCTTGACCAAAAAGAGTTTGACGCGATGACAGCTGGCATTAATATTGTCTTGAACTGAATCACCCACTTCGGACTATATTCCATGAATAAAAAATCATTCGAACATTTTCGATATTCGATGAAAGTAACAAAATCAAAACAGAGTGAGTCGTAGTGTACCAGGTCGCCACAGGTGCGATGCTAGCGACCTCAATTATTACTAACTCTTTTTTTTGCCAAGCTGTAATTCACATGTAATCAGCTCATGTAGTGTATAGTCTAGTCAACTGATGGTAGCGAGGTTGACTTGTCAACGACACACGTACTTAGATATCGTCATGAGCTAATGTTCACATGTAAACTACGCTAATTCTATTGATATTCTTGCAGAATACGCTTCGAAATTGAATAAAAAGATAAGTGCACGTCACCAAGAGTTATCTTCTGAAATCAACACCATCATAGACTATGCTGATATGTTGTATAATGATGAAGAAGGCACGAAGCTCTTCAATGTGCTCCAAGATTTTGATGACTATCCTAACAGTACGTGTGTGTGCGATGTGGTTTTGTACACAACGCCATCTATTAGTCGATTCTTGAATCTCAAATGTAACAATTCAAAGCAATAATGCTGTGATTTTGTATTTTTTTTTATTTCAGCTACACGACCAGGCTATACAGTATGTTTGGCATTAATAGAAAGCTTCCTAAAGCCGTATCATCGGCTCAGTAATACAGTTCTACGTCAACGATTGTTAGACTCTATTAACTTTGAGCTAAAAGCTATAATACCTCAACCAGACCTGTGGAAGATGAGTGCTTTGGGATTTTTAGGTATTAAAGAAGGTACCTATATTACAGTTTATATCGAAATACTGTGAAACGTCTCTTATATTTATCAGCTGCTTCAATTACGGAGCTGCCCTCGTTTTATTCGTTATTTTATTTATATTGGGTTCCCTTGAGTCTGTCAAAATACTATTTGGTAGACACCAATTTAAAAAGAAAATGAAGACTCGTATTCTTTTTAAATTCTGAACTATAGCAGGAGATTTCAGTTTTAAAATTGTGCTTGGATTGTGACGACGTCTCCTCCATGGTCCTAAAAACGTTTCATAGACGATCGTATCTTGAAACGAATTGTGTGAATCCCCGTAGCATTCGCTTCGTGCTTGGCAGTACATTCGGTCATTCGTGGTACCTCTAGTGTTGCAGGTGTACTTAGACTACGGTGTCCGCTCACCACCGTAACAGCCGTAGGCTTTATTGTGTAAAAGCTACTGACGTCGAAACCGCCTTCTCTTCCACAGCAACCGAACAAACCCCGTCAGTACAATCAGACAGCGACACCACAGTATTATTCACAAGGAAAAAACAAAAGAAATTGACACAGAATTTACTAAAGCTGAAGTCGAAACCAAAACATCCGACTATCAAACGAAAACACACAAATGTCCAGCAAAATTACAGCAATGACAATGTTTATAGACGTAGATTAAGTTATACAACTGAATCTCAGTACAATTATCCTTTGTTAAGGAATTTGAAGCCGATCACAAGTATACAGAGACGGTACAAAATTGTTACTCCGACACATCGACACATGTTAAGGCACAGGTCTACACGTAGTTATATAGTAAACCTGATCAGTAGACCCACCAAGGAGCTCACAACTAAACTAAATAAAGTTAAGAATCAGCGAATCGAATACTAGATTCCCATTCCTCAATGAGACAGCACGATTTCGAACGCATTTGAGGCACAGAGACTAAGATCACAGGATTGAAACTATTCATAATAGAAATGCTATTAGCTATCAGAAAAATAAAACATACTTTTACAATCAAATGAGGAATGGAATTAAGCAACTAGCAACTGTTACAAAGACTGAAAGGCTTAAGACGATTCGCAATGAAAGCATAACGTCAGATCAATAACAATAAAAAAAGAAAAGGTGACTAGAAAGTGTAAGTCTAGGAGAGTCGTCGACATGAATGGGCCGGCTCGACCGGACTGATACCACGGCCCAGCAGAAACTCGACGTGTAACAACGCTTGCGTTGTTATTACAATTATAACTTGAATTATAATTATGTATTTTTTAAATAAAACTGTTTGTGTTGGTATTTTTGGTTTTATTTCCTCATAATCATCATCATCATCACATATCAGCCCCGTACTGTCCACTGCCTCCCAGTCCTCCCCCAATGACTACACATTGCCAGGTTGGAAGCGGCCTGCATACAGTGACTGTCGCAGACCTTTACCAGGTCGTGTGTCTCCCTTACGGATACCCTGTGGTAATGTACATGAGTACATGGGTGCATGAGTACATTACCACAGTATTATGAAATACATCCCTACTGACTGTATGGAAGCGTGCAGTGGACAGTCGTGCGTTGTGTTTGACAGGTCTGTACGACGTCAATGGTTTTGTGAACCTGACTAAAAAAGAATAACCTATGGAGTATTTTACTGGTCGCTTTGTCTCCATAGGAATTTATACATTGACCTTCAAAAGCGTTCCTCGTCTAATTGAAATAAATGATTTTGGCTTTGTCTCAGTAATCGAACCATCAGCAGTTTTTTAACAGTTCCTGTTACATCACCAGACCCGTTGAAAAAGCTTGAATTATGAATAAAAAAGAAACAAGTATGAAATAGTTGCATTACAATTTATTTACTACATAATATCTACTGATTAATTTTTATCCTCTCAATCAATTTCTTGTAACTGAGTACTGTCAGTCTGATTGAAAAAGAGTAAACATGGAGCTTCTTACTCTTTCTCCATAGCTACATCTTGGATCGAACAAATATACCTACCAGAGGTAGGAACTAGAGAAGATACCGACAGACTGACACTTAGTATCTATTGGACATTCAAAATTGCCTTCTTGGTCTCACTGAAATTTATGACTTCGACTTTGACTTTGAGTGGTTCTCTTCCGATTCAAAATTACTCTCTTCGTTCGTATTTCTGTGCATTTCTTTACGATTAGTTGTAAGATATTTATTTGATGCAGTGTCATGTTTAACATCACCAAAGTCATTGAAATATGGATTTCTGTCCAAACGACTATCTGCATACAAAATGCTTTCTTTCTGATCATCGAAAATATTACCAAATAGTAGATTTTTGTAATTTATTGTCGTTTCTTTAATTCTATTATAATTGACTTTATATCTCACAGCTTTATTATTAGTTTTAGTTGCTGTTAAAATATAATAGTTGTTGATGACCGGAGTTTTCACTTCTATTGTGTACTTTTTTGTAGTTTTTGCAAACTTTTTGTTATTGAGTCGAGAAGAGAAATGATTTATGACATCATCAGCTACTTCTTTCTTCTCATTCGTTCTTTTCCTGTTCCGTCTGCTGCGTTTGTATCCTTGTTGGAGATATTTCGATTTTATTCCATTTGTTGTTGTTTGTGCTGTGGAATGTAATTTTATCTTGCATTGTACGTTTATAGTTTTATTACAACTGTTTATTGCAGAGCTAAAGAAGTATGTAAGTATCGAAGAAGATGATTTTTTGTAGTTTCTGTTACCACACTGGGACACAGATGTTAATTTATCTATATTATGAGTAAACTTACGTTCAATTCTAAAAAGTATTCCATTAAGTCTTCTTAAAGGGAATTTATTCTTTAAGGCAGTATTGATAGAGTTGAATAGCGTTTGACCGCGCTCTAAATGGCTGAGTCTTCTGTACGGCCTCATAAAACAGTCGAATATAAATTCACAAAGCTGTTTTACGTTTCTTGTACCTGAAATTCGTTAGTGATTCCTTACATTAGGTTGAAAACAATGTTTCATACATTCTAATTTTCGAAATAGCAAGTCATCACCAACCAACCCAGAGCCACGGACAACTAAATGGGTTGCCGGGACTCGGAGCAAGAGTAGGAACGTGGTGGTGATTAGTCAGTAAGAATCAGACAGACCTCTCATCACAGGCGGAGGCGCGGCAGGCAGGAGTCAATGGCAAAGAAAACATTATCTTCGGTCCGTTTTTGCAAACTACTAGACATAGGCCATTCCAATATCCCGGCACTGAGCTCAATTTTCAACTCTCCGCATCCACTACCGGCTACTGAAACAACGATATCGGTTGTGAGGCTCTGCAGCCGATATCGTCACTTCACTTAGCTGGATACTATACCGTCTGAACGTCATGACGTCATCCGGTCTGTTTAAATAAATGGTTTACAACCCTGTACAAATAAATGTCAATCTTTACCATTAGGATATTGTTCATACTCTATAATCGCATCGAAGAGTTCCCATCCCTCGCCATCAGTGTACAGCAGATCAGCATATTCTATAATGGAGTTCAAGTCAACTGCTACAGCAGTCTTCCTGGTTTGCAGCATATGATACAGCATTGAAGAGTAGCCTGGCGGGAGTAAAGCAGCAGGTCATCATTTACTTCGGTTAGTACAACAAGAGTACTTCATCAAATAATTACGCGAGTAAATCGAAAAACATAATATATAATTGGTTTAGTATGTCTCGCCAAAGTTATAATATAGACTTTAGTTCGTTTGCGGATCTCCCCTTTTCTGATCCGGTACCGGACTCTACTTCTTAAAACCTTTACTTACTTCTAATGTTATCGATTTCTGATACGCTGAGGAACCGGGAAAGCTTCACGATGGTGTCAGCCAGGGGTTGTCCTAACCACATCAGTCGATCAGTGTCGTACCAACTGTCAATAATAATCAGTTTAGTTCAGTTCGTCTAGCTCGAGAGTATTTGACAAAAGTAAAAATTGAAAATCAGTTATTTTGAAATCAGATGAAGTAGGCACTTGACAAACGTTTATTTGCTCGTTCCAATGTGTAGATTTCTATGTAGAAGAACGAGCAAGTAACTCCATAGGTTATTTCAATCAGGTTCACAATACAATTCTTAATATTGTTTTGTTGGTTTAGTTATCTGGCATGTATGCATAGATGATGGTGATGGTGACAATGAATACGAACGTATTTATGTGTGGTTCCACTTCCATTAACAGTTCTTTTACTAGTCTCTTATCTTTCTCGGATGTGATCCTGAATATTTCCTGAAGAAAGATGGTTAGAAATCCTTCGTTTCTGTCATCCATCATCTTGAAGTAGACTTGTCTTAATGATGGAGCTGGTGTGGCGAAGGTTACAATATATGAAAAAAATTGACATTATTAAAGACTAGCTTCTGCGGCTCGCGCTACCGTAGGATAAAAAAGTAGCCTTTGGTAATCTTCGACCATAATCTACTTACATAACATAATATAAAATCACGTCTTTCATCCCCGAAGGGGTAGGCAGAGGTGTACATTACGGCACAGTGCCACTGTACAATGTAACAACCTCTTTTCACTATTTATGTTATGAGTCCCATGTAATAGGTAGTGAGCCTATTGCCATATACCGGGCACAATTTCAGAGTCCGCGCTACTACTGAGATTTTTTAAAATAGCCCAGTAATACTTTTCCCGACCCGGGAATCGAACCCGAGACCCCTTGCCCGGCAGTCGCAATTGCGACCACTTGGCCAACGAGGCAGTCCCGCCTGCCTGCGGAGATTATGGCAAACCCTCTTATGTAGAGGAGGACCATAGTGCAGCAGTAGACTGTCATTGGTTATATGATGTGGATAATGAAGATAAGTGTCAGAATGAATGGAACAATGATTGGAAAGAGCTCTAATCTCTTTTGGTTGTGAATTTTACTGGAACTGAACACTTCACACTGGGCAGGTCAGATAGCTCAGAGAACCGATAGCCGCTGGGGCAGAAAGGTTCCCGATTGTAGGCCACGTGCACCCACAAGTTGGACAGAGGACCTGATACGAGTCGCAAAAAGCCGTTTGAACCCATCTAGAAGTTACTGAGGGAGGCCAGGAGTTTCCAGTAGTGGATGTCTGGTAGCTAATATGATGACGATGCTATGCAGCTTGTGATAGTTTGACATGCTATAAATACCTTTATATAATACGTTCCCTGGAGTGCCTGGTAATCGAGTACCTTTAGTGGTGCTCGTCAATATATTGTACTTTGGTGTTTTCCTCAAAATATCATGACCGTCTGTTTTTAGTATTAAGCTTAAAAACAATTTAAACAGATGAATAAGTTTTGAAACACAGATCGAGAGCGATTGGGACTCGACTGATTCTTAGATTAATTCAAAGTGTAGGAGTATTGCCATGCTGCAGTACAAATGGGCCGGCTCGGTCGGAGCGATATCAAGGCCTAACAGAAAAAAATAGCATTAAACAACGCATGCGTTGTGTGTATGTTTCGCCCTGTGAGCGAGGTTACCGGATGGTCAATTTTTCCCCCTTTAATCCTAAAATCATCAATTTTCAAATTCATAACCCTCCATGGCCGGCAACGCTCTTGTACCTTCACTAGTGTTGCGG